CTTCTGAGATCGCACATACCAAAGATATTTCACCCATTCACCCTCGCGATCTATCATCGCGGTTTACAGCGATGTCGATTGCAGAACAAAATGGTTTGTTTTACATCGCAATCGAACTGTTGATCGCATGGTAAATTACAAGTTTATTGGTGGTTGTCAAACCACGTGACATTCGCCAGAGATATGGATGGTATGATAAATATACTGAAATGAATCCAGAATCATTTTCATGTAAGCAAAAAATCTATCTAAGTGGTGTTTCTTAAGCTCTTTAAATAGGAGATGATATTCTCCTAGATACGGTCTTTTTTTATTTATAGGATGAGCCAAAAGCTGGAGATTTAAGAGACATGCATTCACTGTCGTCACTACCGTTGCTCATGTACATAATTTTATAATTTAAAAGAGGTAACTTCCCGAAGAACGTGTCAGTCAGCTCAGAAACTGCAAAGAACACTGAAAGGAAGGTATCTTCGGTATATTCGATATGTATATCCACCGCGCACATCCATGTATCTTCGGTATGCCCGTGCCCTTAGATTTTTCAACCATGATCATTGGTGTTCTACCAGGACCACGTTTACCTTGAATCTTTTTCTGAATGACCAGTTGTAAAAGTTCATATTTTTTAGTGTGCATCATAATGTAACCGAAGTATTCCAGCTTGCATCTCTTTATATTGACTTGAGAAAGAAATCTCCAACCTCAGCAGAAAATACAAACAGAGAAGTGTGCATCACAACGCGCTCGCTAGTGAGCTGTGCGACGTTAGTGGTAAAGTGCGCAGACTAAAGCGGCTTAAACAAACATACGTAGATTACAATACAGCAATATCTAGATTTTAAGATCAGACTAAAATAAATATTAAATAAACTTTTGAACAAAAATTCAATTTATGTTCTATCATTATTGAATGTTTAGTTAAAAGGAAACTTCATTGGAAGTTCATTCTACATGACCATTTAATAGACGTATATTTAACTTATTGTTAATAAGGAATGAAAATTACAAATTCTATGTATTTGTTCCTATCAATTTTAAAAATGAGCACAATCGCCTTCTGCCTAATTCAAATTCTTCCTGTAAAAAATTGACCATGCTCTATAATGATCTTTGGTTACCAAATAACTGATACAAATTTTCTTCTATAAGATGTTATCAAAGTGTTTCCAGGCTTATTTGGATGCCACTTGTGTTTTGAAGCTCAGATTGCAACTGTCTGGTTGTTACACACATGTGTGCCTAGTAGCAGCACTGATGATGGAATAATCATTCCCAAAACGTTCTGTGTTGTAGCTCGAAAGGGTTCTTATTAATAAATGTACCTTTTTATAAAAGATTTTTTAATTAAAATTTTTGTGATTTATGGTATACAGTCGATTACAGGAAGTTCATTTTTCTTGTGGATTATATATTTATAATTCTTAGCATTTTTTAAAATACATTGTATATAATATCAATATTCTTTATGTTTATTGTAATTATTCGCATGTGGTTATTATCTAGATAACGTATATTTTTTTCAGAAAGCTGTATGTAAATAAACTCAAGTTATTCATCGATAGAAATAATATTGACAACTATGACAGATTATGTAATCATGTGTAGGTAGACAAATATACAGTTAGCTATAAGTTGTTGTTGCTATAAATTGTTTCTAACTTACTAATATATGAATAAGGGTGACTTTTTAGATCTCAACTTAGTAACGGTGTAATACGGGATATATGAAATTAAAGTGCTTCTTTTTAGAATACACACGCGGTTCACATATATCTGTAAGCTTCACATTTCAAAATTAGTCACAAATATACAGGGTTCCATAAGACAATAACGCATCAAATATATATTTTTTTAAACCTTTAAGTACCTCTGGTATTACCCTTGTACCACACATTTTCGCCAGAGTAAATAAGTAGTACAAATCAGATTTCTACCTATATACATCTCTACCTGTATTTTAATAAGTAATGCATAGATATAATATGCTCTGATATCGGAGCGTTTACTCAACTTGTAAACATTGTAGTGGTACAACATTTTTGTACCAGTAGATTCTAGTGTGCTCCTTTTTGCAATTAGCACGTGGCTGAATGTGTTTTGTTATTTTTTCTTCAAAATTTGACAATGGTGAGTGCTTTAAACGGTAAGTGTTTTTTATTTCCAATATAAGGAAACTATACAATAGTTTTAGAATAAAAATGTATATCAAAAGTGAAGAAAATTGAAAATTATTTTGAATATATTTTAGAAAAATGTAACTTCAAACTTTCCTCTAAAATATAAATATTTATAACCATCACAAATATGCTAAATTGGTTTCATATATTATGTTGGTCATTTTTGTACATTTTCATCATATTTGCGCTCAGCAAGTATTTTTCGCAATACCCCAACATGCTTGTTTTTTTTTTCAGATGTCGAAAACTATTCTGATATACAGTATTGGAAGAGGGCCTTACAACTGAACAGTTAGCCTAAATATTACATGAAATAACGGATGATCAAGCTGAACATTTTGAGATTGGAGGGGACTCAGATGCTGAGGATGTAGTAGAACCTGACACACCATCAGAAAGATCTTCTAGCAGTACAATACTGCCGTCTACTCCGTCTGGAAGTGGTACAGCCAAAATAGACATAGTTACTAACTACTAAGGCTCGAGGATTCAGATGATTCTGCAGCAGACAGAGATTACCAGCCTGAAAAACCCTCTCAAAACAAAAATATAAATGCTTCACCATCAAGTGAAGATGAAGTGACTTTTGATGTTATCAATGATTTTAAGAGGTGGTCTAAAGAACCAAGAATTTAAAAATTGTATTCGTGTATGAATTCGTGTATCGTAAATGATACCGTCTTCTAAAGACCCAGTAAGTTTCTTTAATGTTTTTTTTTTCAATGACACCTTACTACAATACATTGTAGAACAGTCAAATTTATATGCTGTCCAAGCCAACAAAAATTTAGATTTGTTCTTCGAAGAATTGAAAGGAATTTCCTAGGAATTTTAATTTTAATGGGATTTAATACTTTACCTTCTATCAAAAAATACTGGTCTGCAGATCCAAATTTTCATAATGAAAGGATTACTAATATTTTTCCTCTAAAGAGATTTCTTAAAATATTAAGATATATCAATTTGAATCATAACCAATAAATGCCAGCCAGAGGAACTCGGGAATTTGACAGTGACAAGTTCTACAAAGTGAGACCTCTTATTCAAAAAATTAAAAAAAGTCTTTATGGAATCTTTTTATCCAAGCACAAATATCTCAATTGATGAAAGTATGGTTGCCTTTGAAGGAAGGACTACTTTGAAACGATACATGCCAATGAAACCCATAAAGAGGGGTATAAAAATTTGGGCAATGGTATGTGCTGAAACAGGTTACCTCATAAATTTTGAGGTATATCAAGGTAGAGAACCTGAACGGACTAACAAACATACTCTAGGGGAAAGATTTATACTAAATTTAATTAGTGTTGGAAAAAGGGCTGCTACAATTTTTTTACCACATTTCCTCTTATGAATAAATTATCAGAAGTAGGTCATTTTGGTTGTGGAACAGAAAGAAAAACAGGAAAATAATTTTCCAAAAGCGCATTTAGTAGATCAGTAGATGGCAGAAAAATGAAAATAGGTGAAATTAATGGAGTTGTCTGCAATGATATTACTATAAGTAAGAGGAAGGATCGTGGCTCAAAATCTGTCACCGTATGCAGCAGTATGCATAATCATGCAGAAACTGGTTTTGTTTTGAGATCATCAAAAACTGGAAAAAAAAACATCCGCTGTCCTCAAGTCATCGTAGATTACAATATGTATATGGACGGTGTAGATCGGTTTGACCAACGAATGCAGACATACTCAGACAGCAGCTTGGAAAAGTCGTCCTTTTTTTGACGCATCCATAGTAAATTCTTACACACTTTAAAAAGAATTCCTTAGGTAAAGTAACAGTAGAAAAGAAGTAATATCTCACCTTGAATATGGATCCAAATTGACTACCAGTCTTATAAAAGATTTTTCTGCGAAAAAAAAAATTGGGAGGTCATTCATGATAGAGTATTTTCAAAATGTTGTTCATAGAAACGCAGTGATATAGAGTGCGTAGACTGTAAAGTGGTTTTGTGCTTGGATTGTTTCAAACCATATCAAGTGCCTTACCTATCATTTTTATTATTATATTTTTGTTTATTACAATATTGTGCAGTATTTTTGTATTATTTAAAGTCCTATACATATTATTGATACACTTTTTATCATTTGGTACACCCTATGTACCAGGGAAACTATAGCATGAAATTATTCCTTGATTAAACTCCGGTACAACGATTGACCAGCATTTTTTTTTATAGAAAAAACAAAAATATATTCAAAAACTAGTAACTGATGTACTAACTATAGTATTCCAAACTATTATCTGAAAAAACTTTGAAAAAAGTTCATCATAATAAATTTGAGGCTTAAAAGGTTTAATGAAACACCCTGTATTTTTTTATTTTAAACTTAAAATCCGCTTCGCTTGCTCGTTACAAGAATACGAAGTTCTTTGTGTTATACAGGGTATTTAAAAAGTTATAAATAACCAAATTCAAATGTATAATTGAAAAGGGGTACAAAAGCAACGACCTGTGATGGCCATAGTATTTAAATGATTGTCAAAATTCATAAAAATAATTGATTACAAAATTTTATCATTGTGTTTACGAACTATGAGGCTAAGAGAGAGGGGGATGCCAATCTTATCATTCCTGTATAAGTATGTAAAAAAATTACAAGAAAATTGGTACAAATTATATCTACATTTTAATCTCCTGCGACTTTAATGCTAGAATAGTGATGTTTTAGTTAAAATACAGTAAAAATCTTTTAGAACAATTTCGTTTCCTTTAAGACAATCATTACCATCCATGTTATATTTCCGATTTATATTACGTAGTATTTTTATTTTGAGACGATAAGTATGAACTAATTACAAAATATTATTTGCAGTGACTGGATTTGGTAGTACATTTGGTGCAACACCCGCTACAACAGCGTCGACGGGATTTGCTGGCTTCGGTTCACCTTTTGGGGCCCCAAGTACCCAACCACCAACTGGATTTGGTACCGCATTCGGAACGCCTGCGTCAGCGCCTTCTGCATTTGGTACCAGCACCTTTGGGGCTGCAGCTGCCTCTTCCACTCCGTCCGCTTTTGGAACGAGTTTTGGTGCACCTACTGCTTCGGTAGCACCGACTTTTGGTGGTGGATTTGGGACTCAACAAGCACAACCAAGTTTATTTGGAGCTGCTACTACTTCAACGCCGAGTCTTTTTGGGACCACTACCTCTGCACCTAGTTTGTTTTCAAGTGGCACTGGCGGAGGTTTGTTTGGTGGTACCACTACTACCCAATCTGCCGGATTATTCGGTAAGTAGTTACTATGTATACAATGCATTAGAAAAGAGGTTCGTAAGTTAAATTTTCTAAATTAGCCTAATGAGCCACACTCTTAAAATTTTTCTAAGATTGAGAAGAAGACTTTCCTAAGAATACTTCACGTATTCACAACAGAATTAGACACTAATTTGGTTTAGAAATTCTATGGGAACCAGTGAGGCACTTAACATCCTATTACAAAAATGCCGTATCCAAAGAAAAGATGTATTTGCATGTTTCGTGGACTTCGAAAAGGCATTCGATAAAGTACAGCATGTGAAATTAATCCAAATACTGAAAAATATTGGAATAGATGACAAGGATATTCGTGTCATTAAAAATTTATACTGGAATCAAACTGCTATCGTAAAAATTGGAGATAACTACACCGATGAAATCTCCATACAACGAGGAGTCAGACAAGATTGCATTTTGTCGCCAACTTTGTTCAATGCTTACTCGGACCAGTTATTTAAAAAGGCACTTAAGAGACAACCATATGGAATAAAAATCAGCGGGAAACTACTTAATGTGATTAAATATGCAGACGATACAGTAATTCTGTCAGATAATATTGAAGATCTCCAAATTCTGCTTGATCATATTCACGAGGTAGGAGAAAAAATGGGCATAAAAATAAACTCAAACAAAACCAAATTTTTGAGTGCAAGTTGAGAAAGTTCACAAAATGACATATTTGGGGACTGTGATAACGGTAACCAATTAGATCCAGACATAGAAATAAAACGTAGAATAGCAATGACTAAAACTACTTTTATGAAAATGAAGTCATTTCTTCGCAATAATCATCTCAGTGGACGTTAAAAGTATCGATCATGAACAAAATTGAGGCATTGGAAATGTGGGTTTCTAGACGAATGCTGAAGATACCTTGGACAGCAAGGAAAACTAAGGAAGAACTACTAAGGAGCGTCAACAAAGATAGAAAACTGCTAAAGACTGTTAAACATCGGAAAATGTCTTATCTGGGACATATAATAAGGGGAAGTCGATATAAAATATTACAACTGATCCTTAAAGACAAAATAGAGGCCGTATAGGTGTAGGAAGGAAACAGGTTTCTTGTTTGAGGAACATTCGTGAATGGGCTGGGATATCAAAGGCGGGACAATTATTCCATATTGCAGAAGATCGAGAAGCGTTCGCAATGGTGATCGCCAACGTCGGATCATTCTGAAATGGCACGCGAAGAAGAAGTTAAATTTCATGTAATCAAATTAACTGTCTTGCAATAAAGTCGTCCCAAAAATGCACCTCAAGTTTAATTCTCTGCTTCAATGTATAATATATGTCTCAGTTCTCAATATGAATGAGGTAGATGAAATTAAACATTTTTTAAGAACAAAGCAAATAGTCTGGTCAATTGGCTATGCCAAGGCCATAAAAACAGAAAGGCAAAACAAAATAATTTGTTCAATTTATATTTCGAGAAAGATTTACGAGGTGAAAATCCAAACGTTGTGCCCATCGATTGATAAAACTCTTTGATGAAGATGTGATCAGTGTAATGAATAAACTCTTTAATCTATCAGATTGGTAGTATATCCAAACAATGCCTGCAAACTACCTTTGTAGCAATCTGAAAAAAACACCAACACATTTAAAATATTCTGGAACATTATAGACGACAGAATTGTTAACACTTTCAAGGCATCAAACTACAGAGATGAGTTGCGTGTTGACACTGGTACTCTTCACTTTATATCTATCTATATAAAAGGCTAGGATGACAATTCACACTGTTTGTTCAGTAGGGTAATTACGATACCTAGGAAAGAAATCTGAACTGCCAACATCTGGCATTTCAGTCATATTTTGTACTTAAAGCCATACAGTTAATTGAATGCTAATTTACTTTACAAATTGATGATTCAAATATTCTTAATCGGAAATTTTACCATTTCACAGTAATTAATTTTTTCGCAAAATTGCTAAAAATATAGGTTACTGTAATTGTAAGGTAAGATCAATGACGTATCATATATATTTAATATTTATTATAAATTATTTGATAAGATACCCATACCCAACAAACGTCGACGTTTTACCAAAATAAAATAAAATAAAATTAAATAGAATTAAATAAAATTAAATCAATTTAAACAGAATTACGTAAAATTAAATAACAAATCGTTATCCTTTTTTGTTTTTTTTTCTTTTTCTTATTTATTGACATTATCTGTTGTTATGTACTAAGGTTATAGTTTAATGAACAAAATACAGATTATTGAAGTGAATACTTCTTATCGCTCGGTATGATGTTTTGCACGGGCCCGAAATCCTGTTTAGCGCTACTCCAAAAATCGAGTATATCACATACATATACATACACATATTTTTATAATTTTATATATTATATATATTTAATATATTGTGAAGTTTGTATAGTTCTAATTTAATTTGTCTTTATTCTAAATTATTGTCTATAATCTAATTTATTAAAACTCACGATAACTAATTACGAATTTATTAAAGTCTTTATTAATCCTAATTACAAATAATTTATTAACGTTTCGTTACATTTAAATATCGCGGTTCGCGAGCTTCTTATAACTGACTGCCAAATAAAAATCTTTCATTTATATACACAACTGTGTCATCCAGAGAATTCGGCGGACTTCTTGAATAGTCTCGTATTTTGGTGAAGGCGCTCGACTCGTTTTTCAACCTCGAGACGTGGATGACTCACTAAAATTAGTGTCTAGAGATTTCTGGTAAACAACTGGTAGCTAAGCTCAGGTATATTTTGACCTACAAATTACGAGAATCAATAAAAAGAATTAGTCATAAAATATTTACAGTTCTATATGCCATAACATTTAAAATCGTAACATTGCCCCCCTCTTAAAAGATGGTTCCTCCTGGAACCTTGTCGGGACTGGAACTGGAACGACATGCTGATATCGGCAACTGGACCCTCTTTTACAACTTCCAGTTGTATAGAAATGACAAGGGACGGTTTTCTCTCCGCAGCAGTAACTATGCGGATTGCAACAGACTAACACCTGGACTTCGGTGTCTTTAAAGATTTCCTCCACCATGTTTCGTATAACCCTCCAATCTAATTGGCGGCACTCCAACTTTGGCATGGCTAACTTTTGCACGTCGGACTCTAGTACGTGCTCTCTCAACTGAAGTAAGGCTTCCCATACATCTCGGTAGGTAGGTTGGTCACGGGCAGTGTCTTTTGTTACCAGGTAGAAAAGGTAACGTGATGCATCTTGAAGTTTCAAGGTTTTACCAGGAGCTGGCACTTGGCATTGAAGTTCTGCAACTCGACCAAACTTCCTTCGAAAGACGGATGCCAACCCTGGTGCATCTTTGATACTGGCCGGGATGGTAAGGGCCAGTGAGTAGTCATCGGGAAGCGCGAGTAGATCTTGCCTTTCTTCAGTGGTAACACCATGTCTTGCTTTACCGGTACCTCCATAGGCACCCATGAATTCCTCAAACGTGAGGTCAGACACATCTTGGACTTGGTTTACTTCCACTTCTTCATCTACGTCGTGGTCACCCTCGAAAGACGCCAGCCGGTTATGGTGTACTATCATCGGCTTTCCTCTCGGAATCTTGCTTATTCGGTAAATAACATCATTGATCTTCTCCATAATGAGGTATGGACCTTCCCAAAACTGCTGCAATTTGGGAGAACAACCTTTTCGCTTTTTGGGGTTATAAAGCCAGACTTTATCGTTCTTCTTAAAACACCCCTTTTCGGCTTGCGTATCGTACCGTTTCTTCATTCGGTCACTAGCGATCTGGAGATGGGAACGGACCAACTCGTGTACATCGTCCATTCTTCTTCGTAATTCGATCACATAATCTTCACCTGCTACATCTTCTCCAGGTCGACACCCAAACTCTAGATCACAAGGTAGTCGCATCTCGCGTCCGAATAGGACTTTGGCTGGTGTCTGGCCTGTTGATTCATTAACAGCAGATCTGTAGGCCATTGTGAAGAACGGGAGATATTGGTCCCAGTCTCGCTGATGATCGGACACCATCTTTGTCAAATACTTGCCAACTGTTCTATTCATTCGTTCTACCATACCATCCGATTGCGGATGATAAGCCGTAGTCCTTGTTTTCTTCATACCTAGTCTATCACATATTCCTTGGAATAAATCGCTTTCGAAGTTCCTGCCTTGGTCACTATGGATCTCCAAAGGCACTCCAAATCGGCTGATATATTCTTGGATCAACTTATCTGCAACGGTGGCCGCCTTCTGGTCTGGAAGTGCGTAAATCTCGACCCACTTAGTGAAGTAATCCATTACTACCAACATGTACTTGCCTCCATTATCACTTTCTGGAAACGGCCCAGCAATGTCCAAAGCTATTCTTTCAAACGGGCTTCCAACATTATATTGTCTCATAGGAGCTCTCCTTTTTCGATAAGGCCCGTTACTCGTAGCACAAATAGTACATTTCTTACACCAGTCTTTTACATCGTCGGAACTGTTCATCCAATAAAACCGTTCCCGAATTCGCTGAAGGGTCTTCTTCACACCAAAATGCCCTCCTGATGGACTGTCGTGTAACTGACGAAGTACTTCGGCTATTCTGCTCTTTGGAATCACCAACTGTCTTCTCTTCTCTGAACCGTCATCATTTTCCAGGACTCGTTTGAGCAAGCCATCTTCCATGATAAATGAGTCCCACTGGGCCCAATACGTCTTAACTACTGAGCCTAGGTTCGATATTTCTTGCCAAGGTGGTCGACGGTTTTCCTCTTTCCATTTTCGGATTTTCTGTATAACTGGATCTCTCTCTTGTTCTTCCCTGATCTTGGTAGGCGTCCAGTCGTCGTGGACCACCGTCGTTCTTAGCACTGCTGCTTCCTTGGATTCCGTTTTGTTGCAGTGAGAACACTCTGCTGGGCATGGCCTTCTGGAAAGAGAATCAGCGTTTCGGTGGCTAACTCCGGCCCGGTGCTCAATCTTAAAATCATATTCTTGGAGTCGTTCGATCCACCTGGCTATCTGACCCTCTGGATTCTTAAACTGCATCAACCACTTAAGGGCGGCATGGTCGGTTCGGATTAAAAACTTCCTTCCATAGAGGTATTGATAGAAGTGCTCTACTGATTTCACTACTGCCAGAAGTTCTCTTCTCGTGACGCAATAATTTCGCTCAGGTTTTGAGAGAACTTTACTAAAATATCCAAGGACTCTTTCCTGTCCTCCTTGAATCTGAGACAGCACTCCTCCAATTCCCACATTACTTGCATCTGTATCTAAGATGAACTCTCCTTCTGGCAGTGGATACCCTAAAATTGGTGCTGTGATTAAATGCTTTTTTAAGGTTTCAAAGGCATTCTGGCAGTCTACATCCCAGCGGTATTCTCTTGCTTCCTCTGTAAGTCGCGTTAATGGTTTAGCGATATCTGCAAACTTCTTAATAAACCTCCGGTAGTAAGTACACAGTCCCAGAAAACTTCTCACTTGGTGTTTGTCAGTTGGTTTTGGCCATTCCTTAATAGAATCGATTTTTCCCTTATCCACGGCCACTCCTTCTTTACTGACTATATGACCCAGATAATTGACTTTACCTTGAAATAGCTGGCACTTCTTGGGGTTTAACATCAACTGGGCAGCTTTAAGCCGATTAAAAACGTTTTCTAAATTCTTCAGATGGTCTTCAAATGTCTCCCCCAAGACAATTATGTCGTCTAGATAAACTAGGCATGTTTTCCAAGATAACCCTCTCAGCACATTTTCCATAAGCCTCTCAAATGTCGCAGGAGCGTTACAAAGTCCAAATGGCATAACGTTGAATTGCCATAATCCAGATCCTGTGGTGAAGGCTGTCTTTTCTTTATCTACCGGGTCCATTTCTACCTGCCAGTATCCAGACTTCAAGTCCAAAGTAGAAAATAATTTACTTCCAGCCAATGTGTCTAATGTGTCATCGATCCGAGGAAGAGGATAACTATCTTTCTTGGTAACGTTGTTCAGCAAACGGTAATCCACACAGAACCTCGTTGTTCCGTCTTTCTTCTTAACCAGGACCACCGGAGAGACCCATGGGCTCGTAGAAGGTTCTATCACCCCGTCTTTCTTCATTTCCTGAACAATCGTTTCAGCTTCCTCTCTTTTCGCCTGTGGTAATCGTCGAGCTGTTTGACGAATTGGCTTAGCATTACCAGTATCAATTTTATGCTTAACAACGGTAGTTCTTCCCGTCTTTCCTCCTTTCGGTACGAAAATATCACGATACTGCCGAAGAAATTCCCTTAATTTCCTTTTCTCAATCTGATTCAGAGACTGTCCAGCAACCGCAACCATTTGATCAAATTTATCGTTGGAATTATCAGACGTTGTCGTCTGACGGATTATGGATGTGACAGGTACACAAGTTCCTACTTTTGTCTCTTTCTTGATGGTCACTGGGTAGTCATTGACATTAATAAGTCTCACAGGAATTTCTTTAGCCGAAGTCACTAATTCTTTTCCAATTATGATTCCACGGCCAACTTCGTCGTCATGATTCCGAGGCTCCATCATAACAGGTGTTCCTTCGTCCACAATTCCCTGTAGCCGCGCTACTATTATCGTTTCACTTCTCGCAGGCACGACTGTATCTTCTTTAACGGCTGCTTGCATAGTGTTGTCATCATGTGGATGGAGAAATACCTCCTCGTTACCAACTTTGATTACCTTATTCTTAAAATCCAATTGGAATCCATGCGTATTCATTACGTCCATTCCTAATATAACATCCTCTTCGATGTCAGCAACTATAACAGTATGGACGAACTTTTCTGCTCCAATTCCTAATTGTACCTGGATTTCTCCATGAATGTTGGCATTTTCACCTGTGGCGGTCCGAAGTCGCAACCTCGTTGGTAACAGTTTCTTTCGGCTGTTTATAACTGTCGGGCGTATAATGGTTCTGGTCGCTCCAGTATCCACCAACAACGTATGCTTTTTACCATTTATTTCTCCATCTACATATACACTATCTTCACGACATTTCAAAGAAGCTATTAGTATCAGAGGGTCTTTGGTAAAGTTCTGGGTCGAAGCTGCTCCCCTAAGGCCGACGCGTTCTGGTTTTGTCTTCGGTCTTATGGTCTTCGTTTTCTTGTGTGTCATGCTTTTTATCATATTAAAGAGCTGGTCAAGTTTATCTTCATCTCCTTCCTCTTTTACAGTCCTAACTTTACTGTACCCGCCAGAGGCCTGCGTAGCTGACTCGTATTCGAGGGCGGCAGATAAGACATCCATCAGCGTCTTGTGACGAGCTAATCGTAGTGTTCTTTGCATCTCATGATCACGAAGACCATCAATAAACGTTTGAACGGCCAACTTTTCCATCATGTCTTCGGGAGCTGTTGGATAAGCATATCGCACTAATCTGGCGATATCTACTTCATATTCTTGAAGAGCCTCATCTTTCTTTTGTCTTCGATTTTTGAGCTGCGACTGATATACATGCTCCAAGTGTTCGTGGCCATATCGCATATTTAACCTCTTCTTCAGTTGTTCGAAATCATCCGTCTCCTCTACGGCTATGGTCTGGAGCACATCTAAGGCATCTCCTCGAAGAGCGATAGTCAGGTTTACAGCCTTTTCTTTTTCAGACCATCCATTCGCTCTTGCAGCTGATTCGAACTGTTTCATGTAGTTGTTCCATGATGATTTTCCGTCGAAAGTTGGGACTTTGACATGAACGGAACTTCCACTTCCTTCAAATTTCGGCCGTGTTTCCAACTTACATTTCGTCTCGTCTTCTTTTATCTCTACCGGATCTAAAGCTACCGTATTAATTGGTGGTAGCACTCTCGTGTTAGTTATCATGGTCTCTAACTGTTTGATTTTCTCTTCAACTTTATCAAATGTTTTAGAGACTTCTTCAAATTTCTCATTATTCTTTTTAGAAGTTTCTTCCATCATTTGAGAAACATTTTCAAATTTCTCGTCGAATCTTCTAGACACATTTTCGAGTTTCTCGTCGTTTTGTCTACCTACTTCTTTAATAATTTGAGACGTTTCATCCAATCTTTTGGAAACCGTATCGAACTTAATATCATTTTTCTTAGAAGTTTCTTCTATCTTTATTAAAACTGCTTCTTCTGCTGATTGAAAATGGAATGTCTCTGGGTCATCTCCATTCTTGTTAAGAACATTCTTTAGTCGTTCTTGGAGGATCTTCTTGGACCCGCTACAGTCTTCATCGCGTTCTTCAAGTTGCTCACGCAACTGTTTTACTGAAAGTTGTACTAGCAGCATCTTTGGTCGGGCACACACGTACTTTTTAAATGTTCTTTCGTACAACGATCACTACTGAACTACGCGGATGTTCCCGACGAACAATACCTTTCAAAAGTTCAAAAGTCTTTTTCAAAAATCAAATTAAATTTATCTACAACCCACTCCTGTACACCACTGTGAAGTTTATATAGTTCTAATTTATTTGTCTTTATTCTAATTTATTGTCTATATTCTAATTTATTAAAACTCACGATAACTAATTACGAATTTATTAAAGTCTTTATTAATCCTAATTACAAATAATTTATTAACGTTTCGTTACATTTAAATATCGCGGTTCGCGAGCTTCTTATAACTGACTGCCAAATAAAAATCTTTCATTTATATACACAACTGTGTCATCTAGAGAATTCGGCGGACTTCCTGAATAGTCTCGTATTTTGGTGAAGGCGCTCGACTCGTTTTTCAACCTCGAGACGTGGATGACTCACTAAAATTAGTGTCTAGAGATTTCTGGTAAACAACTGGTAGCTAAGCTCAGGTATATTTTGACCTACAAATTACGAGAATCAATAAAAAAGAATTAGTCATAAAATATTTACAGTTCTATATGCCATAACATTTAAAATCGTAACAATATTTTTTATAACAACTCAAGAACGGCTGGATCGATTTGACTAATTTATATTTAAAATATTTTTATGAAATAAAATAAATTAAATTAAAATAACATTAATATAAAATTAAATAAAATTAAACAAAAATAAAATTAAATAAAACTAAATAAAATTATATAAAATTAAATAAAATTATTAAAATAAACAAAAGTTTATTTTCGAAATTTTAAAGTTGTTTATAGATAGAAGTATTTACAAATGGAAAGTTTTTAATGAAAATTAATTAGTATAACCTCACATTATTCATGATTAGTTTTAGAATATAATGATAATCAAAATGAAATAATTAAGCATAAATACAAGATAATAATGAAAATGATGAATAAATGCTATATGTATTATATTTAACAAATTTTGAAAATTACTTAAATAATTAAACAGAATTATTTTTTTTAATTTTAAAGAACTTAAATGTGTAGTGTTATTATAAAAAATATTAACAATTCAGTATTAAGCAGACATAAAATTTCATTAACCCACATTATAGTAATAACACTATAAGAAGTATTCACTTCTGTTGGCACTCCCTAAGTGCCACTCTCTTTTTTTAATTAACCCTCACGTAATTAACCATTTATTGTAGGGGGCACTGCAACCGCGACTACTCCAAGCCTCTTTGGTTCAACAACGACACCTTCATTATTTGGTCAACAGCCAACTGCACCAGCTCCTAGCTTGTTCGGCACTGCAACTTCAGGAACCAGTGGCTTTGGAACTGGAACCAGTTTGTTTGGTTCGACAACAACTACATCAGCGCCATCCTTGTTTGGAACTGGTTTTGGATCCACTACAACCACCGGAGGATTTGGAGGCTTTGGAGGCACAACTTCGACTTTTGGAGGCTTTGGACAACAAGCGCAGACGTCATTTTTTGGTAAACCTGCTGTTCCACCGGCTGGTAAGACTAATATGCAATTTATCATGAATCAAACTAGTTTTTAGACGCTCTGAAGCTTTGGTTTCCTTGTGGAATCTTACCTTTTATTAAATATCTCGGTGAGAACCCGCAAATTATAAATCAATCTATTTATTTTATGTTTATTTTATAAAAGTAGCTAAACTGGCTTTCGCTCTGGAACCTACACTTTATATGGAATTGACTTTTATTGTAAATAAAAGTAGCATTTACTTGTGTTATTGTGTTATTTTCGTAATTATTTTCCATCGTTTTGATTATTCCTAAAGGTATCTCCCTTTAATTTTACCCGGTCAAATGCCTTCTTAAGCCCACGAAACATAGATTATCAATTTGTTGTATTCTTATGATTTTGAACTTGCCTCATTATAAATATAGCATCGGTCTAATGATCTTCTCGACCTAGAACCTTGTTGTTTTTCTACTAGTATTATAATTTCATTCAGTTTATTTGTTATCACTTTGATTGTTAATTTGAGTATTGTGTTTAACAAATTAGTTCTTCTGTAGTTTTCCGGGTCAGATTTGTCTTCCTTTTTGAAGAGAGGCTTTAGGATGCTCGATTTCCATTTGCTTGACCTCCGGTTTTCCACTTTTTGAAGATTCAGACATGGTATTCCCTGCACGCTCTCCGCTACTATTCTATAAATGGTTCTGCGTGAAATATTTTCATTCTAAAATATTCGACAGATTTCTGCTTTGGGTATCTGCCCAATTAACTTGTACGACACTTTTTCTGATCTCTAATTTATACGACATTTTAAAGCAAAAACTTCAAAATAAATAAATATCAACTGGCAGTAAAGAAAGTAAACAACATTTTGTTTAAGAAAACTTGATATTATTTTGTTTTTGTTCATATTAAAGCCAATGAATTTTGTTCCAAAACCTTTTAGGACATACTTTATACTGTATTCTCTAATAATTATATAAATTAATTATCAAGAATTATATAAATTATTTTCGATATATTTATATTGTATTTTACTCAAATTTATCGTTTTTTAGCACCTCAACAAGTTCCCCCTTCGAAGAATCAACAAGTTCTAGCTTCTGTCTACTCAATTAATGTTTTTAACGACGAAAGGGACGACATTCTTAAAAAATGGAACATGCTACAAGCTTGTTGGGGAACAGGGAAAGGCTACTACAACGGCCAACTGCCGCCCATTGAATACGATACTCAAAGCCCATTTTACAGATTCAAAGCGATGGGTTATAATGTCATTCCAGAGCATGATAATACGGACGGCATTGTCAAATTGGTTTTTAATAAGAAAATCGACGAAATGAAGTAAGTATTTTTAATTTTTATGTTATCAAACCATTATTTATAAATTTGTAGCCAACTAGAGCAGTGGTTCTCAACCTTTTCATCACTGAGGACCACTTGTATCTTTCAGAACTCTTGGCGGACCACTTAGATATTATTATTAATATTTCCTAATAATAGGTAAAATGAGATGAACACTGAAATTTTACTAATGAATTTATTATTTACAAAATAAAAAAAGAAAATACATAGTGAAAGACAAAAGGTATATAAAAAACAAAATAAAAAGTCATAGATAGCGCCAAATTAAGACGTTAATGACTCCCTTGGTCTTGCTTCTCACTTGAAAGTTTCTCAATATTTGGATCGAAAGAAGTTAACGCCAGTCTCATAGGAGCATTTAAATTTAGCAACCTATTTCTGTGTTTATTCTTAATGACATATAATGTTGAGAATGATGCCTCACAGAGATAAGTGGAATGAAAAGGAAGAAGAAGTTCCAAAGCTTTTTTACTTAGCAGTGGACTTTCATCAAGTAATCCTATCCAAAAATCTGCAACATTTTCGCAGTGAGATTTTATCACTTTTAAATGATCATCGGATGAAATTTCAATAAGCTGTTCATTTTCCTGAATAGACAGATTATTATTGTGGGTAGCTAAAAAGGGATCAATCACCCACAGATTATTTTTCCTCACATCTGTATCAGCAGGGAAGTACTTTTCAAAGTAATCTTGAAGCGACTTAATGTAGGACTTAACCAGTGAATGTAAAACATCCTCATTTAAGCTATTTCAGAGATAAAATCTGAAAACAAGTTGAACATTTCAAACGATCCTTTTCCAGCTTCGGACTCCCATAGCAACAATTTTTTCTTAAATGAATCAATTTTTTTTCCAAAGGTCAAATGCGGTTTTAGATGGTCCCTGCAGGCCTAGATTCAATATGTTGAGCTGTTCAAAAATATCTGCTAAAAAAGCTAACTGGGCCATAAATTCTCCGTCACGCAGTGTTTTCGCTAAATCAGGTTTTTTTTTTCATCAAGATACATACATACTTCTTCTCGAAGTTCATAAAATCTGGCTAAAACCCGGCCCCTGGACAGCCACCTAACTTCGGTATGTAGAAGGAGATTGGAATGGATGGATTCCATGTCCTCGCATAACAAAGCAAACAATCTCGAACTAAGAGCATTACTTTTTATAAAGTTCACGGCCTTTACCACAGTAGTCAAAACCTTGTTTAGGTCGGGACTTAATCTTTTGGCAGCAAGCATTTCGCGATGAATAATACAGTGTGTTAAAACAATATCACGGTTTCCTTCTTTCCTTACAAAACTTGGCAAGCCTGTTTTGTGACCTGTCATTGCCGCGGCACCATCAGAGCAAAGTCCTACACAGTCTTTCCAAGAAAGATTTTTAATTGTGAAATATCCGTCAATGGCTTTAAAAATGTCTTTTCCGGTTGTGTTACCTTGCAACTCAATCGAGGTCAGGAACTCCTCAGATAATTTTTTGTTGTCTTTATCTATGAATCGTATATAAACAAGAAGAATAGCTTTATTGGTAATATCTGTAGATTCATCAAGTTGTACAGCAAAAATCTTTGAGGAATGAATTTTCTTTAGAAGTTGGGTTTCAACATCTGATGCCATTTCTTCAATTCTCCTACTAACGGTGTCATTGGAAAGAGGAATATTTTGCATTTGTTTAGCGTATTTATCACCTAAAATTGCTTTAGTTGCATCTACGATACATGGTAAAACTAATTCCTCACCAACAGTAAAGGGTTTTTTGGTTTTTGCGATTCTAAGTGAAAGTTGATATGACGCCTTCAAAGTAGCTTTATCATAAGTTGAGTATGACTTAAGGATATTTTTTGACGATTTTAGTTCCGTCTCCTTCCTCTTAAAGAAATCTACATGTGTTCCGGCAAAATTTTTATGCTTTGTTTCAAAGTGTCTAGTTAATTTTGCCGGCTTCATTGCCTCATTACTTAATACCTCCGCACAAATTACACATTGAGGTAACTGGACACCAAATTCTTCAATGAATGTAAATCCACATGCTATGTAGTCAGGATTGTACTTACGGTTACCAGCCTTTCTTTTAGGACCAGTTTGAGTTAATATTGTGCTATCACTGGCAATATTACTAGTAGAACATCCTGCTTTAACGTTCTCACTATCCGTCTTCTTAAAAAAACCCGAAAGTTTCATCTGTTTGCTCATTTTAGTAAACTACAATCACCAAGCCAAAAAAGACGCACGCTCGTCACTTTGAGTCAACTCAACGACAGTTGAGTCAGCACTGAGTCACTGCAACTAACTATTTGGCGCGTGAGGGAAAATACGCGGAAGATTGAGGTGAATGAACCTGTGTTCAGGCGCGCTTGGTCGTCTGGAAACGTTTTGAGTTAAAAAGATAGGCCGGCGCATTAATTTACGTCTCAAGAACCAAGATTTAAATTGATTATTTTATGACTGTTCACTTCGCGGACCACATGAAACCGTTCGCGGACCACAGGTGGTCCGCGACCACAGTTGAGAATCACTGAACTAGAGCATTGTTTCTTTTTCCAACACTTTTTGGTTGTCGTCTTCGGTTTTGTTGTACTCCAGAAAAAACATTTTTTTCTCTTCAAAATTTCCATTATTCAGTTCTTATTTGTACTGTACTACATATTTCTTTTACTTGGTCGTTTCAGATTTTTCATGGTCTTCATCATTTTGTTCCAAAAGTTCCTATTTCTTTTTTATCATATCAACTTTTCCTCTTTGTTCAAAAAGATTTCGTATTGTCAATAATCTATTTGTACTGAAGTCAGATGTGACATTAAATAAAGCTATGGAAACAGCACAAATTAAATGAGCAACAATAACTGAAATAAAACAGTAGATAGCAGAAATGAGTGAAAACCGAACCATTAGAAGAAAGAGAGGTATGTCAAATAACGAAAGGGAATCGCAGCAAGGAAATATCACAGCCTGGTGTCGTGAAGTCACATCAGCAGACCGACGATTAAAAGAGACCAGATGTTTAAGTTCAGAGAATCAGAGACATTTCAATCGTGAGTTCAACGCTATTGTCCAAAAGTATTTTAGATGTGCTAGAAGGCACTTATATTCAGTGTGTACCCATTAAGGATTACATCTGCAATTAATGCCCTTTTAAAGAGCACTATAAAAACTGGTATGCGGAAATAAATATTTAAATTTATTGGAAGAAGAAACGGGTTGGTTTTCAAGAATGCTTGCGTCTAGTTTTATTAGAAATCGATAGTAGTATTTTCCTGTTACGATTTTACATTTTTCAAAATAGTCCATGATAATAATTTTTATTCTATTTTAGAATATTAACACTATCGCGTTTTTCCGTCATCGTTTTCTTTTGTTGTTCCCATTCTGAGTCACATTCCACCGCCGAAACTGCGAAGAAGTCATTTTCTTCTCAGAGAATATCGAAAAATTGAGGCTAACCATCAACTACCTATACACCAAGATAAGCTTGATATCGAAATAAACAGACTGCGCTCCAGATATCCTCCATTGCTAAGAGCCAACTCCTTACATCAGGAACATTTCAACCTGACCAAAGCTTGGAGAACACAATGGGAGAGCGACTCACCAGAGGAAACACATCAAATGGCCTGTATCGATCAGAAACCACCAGGCTTTGAACTGACCCGCAATACATGGACAACGCTAAACAGAATAAGAATAAGCAGCGGTAGATGTGCTGACAGCTTATATAGATGGGAAAAGCCCTTACTCCTGAGTGTGACTGTGGTGCGCAACGACAGACCGTCCGTCACATTGTTGAAGAATGTCCCCGAAGGCGATTCCGTGGAGTTTTCGATGAGTTCCTGAATGCGACCGAAAATGTTTTACATTATATTAATAATACATTAGATGTTCGTTTGTAATACTTCATGTAACGTTTTTATATTGATTTTTTTAATTGTGTGTTCTTATTGTATGCCATAACGATAAATAAATAAATTTGTTGTATCTGAATTGTATATGAAGAACAGGCTTCTATCCACTGCTTAGATTGTTGTTTGGTTCAGGATACAGCACTTTTCGGAAAGAGGCATACAAATGCGTTTTTAAACGCATTGAGTGACGACACCCTTTCTTATGAAAAGCTATTTCATAGTTAATTTCTGACGTATTAGTAATTTTTGTTTATACTCAGATCTTTCGATATATTACGCGCTTTTTTGATAATTTTCGGCGTGGTTCCAGTTTTGGGCGTCCTTCATCCCACAATCCTTTGTTCACTATGGAGAAAATAGATGAGGAATCGTCTACATTATAATGAATTTCCCCCTTTGGTAAACCTTATTTCACGAATAATTTTATCAATGCTCGATTCTTGATTCAATTTTTCATGCAATAACAAAGCGATTAATTTTAGAACACAGTCAGAAGTCCTTAAAAATGGCATAAGCGGAATATTGGGAAATAAACCAAACTTAGTAGTTGAAATTAACCAAATACGAGCTCTATCTGCCAATCAGACGGAAGTGAGGATAGTGGTACAAGAAAAAGGTGTTACAGGCACCAGCAGAAAAATCCCTGCATCAGATTTGGCAAACTTCTTAAATCAACCAATGCCAAAACAACAACTCTCTACCGTAATGGTTACGTCAATTACTCCATATGTAACTCCATCCAAAGCTGAGTTGGAAGAGTATTTAAAGAATCCTCCATCAGGTAAGACTAATTATACTTTATAATTTAGTTTTAAATGATTATTTACATTTTAATTTCAAAATTTACTAATTTGAATTGGCCGAGAGATTTACTACGTACATACAGTGAAAAAATTTAATAAATACGAAATCAATTGCAGAATAATAAAAATTTTAAGCTCATTTTCGGCTAAAATGTTTTTCTTTTTTTTGTTTCTTTATGTCATAACTTTTTGCCACGTCTCTTAATACAAGTAATAAGATATTCTCTTCTGTTTTTCTTTTGATCTTTTATATACATATATTTCGGCTAGAAATATTGTGAGTGTTTTACTTGTTTTGTAATTTATCACAGACAATCAGAATACTTCATATATGTACAGTATTGGAAGATTCAAAACGGAACATACGAATTATTAATACAATTATTAAGATCCCCTGACCTGCAATTACCCAGTGTAAATTTCAATATAACGTCGCGATGTCTTATAATTAATTCATTTGTTCGACTGGATTGCTACTCCTTGGCGATTTCTAGTAGCGTATTCGACAGGTGTACGTCGACACTGTTGTCTATCGTCCACTGATTTTCTGTGTTTTTGTGCAGATAATAACAATGTTTTATTAATAACAATTTTTTTGTGTTCATTAGATATTATTTGAATTGGTTAGTGTATAGTTTAATATATTTATTATTCCAAATATTGTTGATAATTTAAAATTTAAAAGGATGTATATGATACATCAAAATCTACAGATTTTTGCCGAAGGTATCTATCGATTTGGCAACAGTCCCAAGAAACATCACTGGCCGAGCAAAACAAATACATGCCCTTTGCTTTGCTTCTCATTATAACGCCATAAGCTGAAATAAAAGTAGTGTTTCTAACCATAAACCATGTATACAAACAAAGAAAAAGTACAAATTTTAAAATGGTATTATGGGGGCAACTCGTACCGTGATATTATAAATTTATTTACTTGTGCGTATGAAGATAGGCCAATACCGACACAATCAACTATTAGTCGTATTATTAAGGTGCGCACGTGCGCAGCAGTCGAAAAATATCGACTGGAGAAGGAGTCCAGTCGAACAAATGAATTAATTATAAGACATCGCGACGTTATATTGAAATTTACACTGGGTAATTGCAGGTCAGGGGATCTTAATAATTGTATTAATAATTCGTATGTTCCGTTTTGAATCTTCCAATACTATATAGAATGTTATGTTTGTACTCGTAGTTGTCTTAATTGGATGTTACATTCAAGTGCTTTTGTTTATATTAATATTTTTACTTTGGCGAGTGAGGGATTCAGACAAAAGGATATTGCGCGTAGATTGCATATTCAATAATTCACTCGTTTCTCGTATATTTATGCGATTGAACGAATCTTGATCGTACAAAAGACATCCTGGTCAATGACGAAAAAGAACTACAACACCTAGAGATCAGCAATATTTGAAAATTTAATCATTACTAAATCGCACACTTACAACTCTGGGGCTGAAAAAAGCAATTGCTGATGACAAGACAAATTAATGTAAGTGTAAAAACAGTAATAAGAAGTCTAAATGAAACTGGTTTAAATCAGAAACGTCCATACAATGTTCATATGCTTCTCACACGTCACAAAACTAGGCGGTTACAATTTGCACAAACCCGCGTTAACTGGAATGAGCATCGATGAAAAAGTTCTGTTTACGAATGAAACAAGAATGCAATTTTCGAATCCAGACGGACATGGTCGAGTATACAGGCGTTTGCAGACCTTGTCTTGGTGCCTTTATTGGTTTCCATGATTTCGTGTTAATGCATGGTAATGCTCGTGCATATGCCGCAAGAATAGTAACCCAGTATCTTAAGCTTGTTGGTATTTAGAATATGGATTGCCACGAATGAATCCTGATGCAAATTCCATAAAACACCTATGGGACATCTTAAAGTTACGTGAACGTAACATAAATTTGATGAAAGAATTTTAAGTAAATTTAAATTTTAAAATTAATTGGGAATGTTAAAATTTAATTGAGGATATTAAATTCATAAAATTGTCTATATTAATTTTCGTCGTAATTGTAATATACTATAGTCCTTTTCCATCATATTGATAGCACATTATGTATGCAAATCCTCAACAGGTCAAAAAACCATAGGCGTCACCCTATACTTGTTTTGAAATAAATAAAAAAATTAATATTTTAAGATGCCGTCAACAATTCATTATCTTTTAAAAAATCTTCTGTAAAATAAGTGTCCACTAATCTCACTATAACCTTTTTTGTGCGTAAAAAACGTCGGTATATATGCCACACGATTATTGTTAATTATACACGGGTGATTAACGAGAGAATTCAATGTTTCACGAAATAAATTAATGTAAACAGTAATTTAAAGGTGATTATTGTTTTCTATACAAGTTATCGCCTGACACAAAAAGAATACCTTCTTTGAACGATTACCTGGAATTACTGATAAGGCTTCACTAATGATAGTTTAAGTAGTTTTTATGCCACATTACAGCTTATGCCAATAATATAAATTAGAAATTGTTTGCATCTTCCATTTAGTTTGTAGATGTACATTGTTCATGTCTTACCTACCTACGTTTTTGGTGTCGATATTTTGTTATTTGCATTTAAAAATGACGTCGACAACAGGTTTTATCCCGGTTAAGTGTAGTTTTAAAGGTGCCTTCAGTCTAAGAGAGAAAAATATAATATTAAATGTACACGATGCACTTGTACATCAACGCCCTTTAAGTAATGTTCGTGAAATCGTTAACATGTGTTCAAATATGACAGGGGTTGGAGAAGCAACAATTTATAGATTCCTAAAAGAAAGAAAAGGAGGAACTGTTTCATCTCCCAAGAAGAGTGGAGGGAGTAAACCCTTGGAAATTGAAGAAATACATAAAAACATGATAAGATGCAGCGTCCACTCATTTTTTTTTAACAAAGAATTTCCAACATTGGACAAAATCCAAACATTAATTAGAGAAAACGAAGAGTTACCAATCATAAGCAACAAGAAATTATGGGGACTATTGAGAGAGATGGGATTTCGTTGGCAAAAGAATAGAAGAAAATCCGTTTTAATTGAAAAAGATTACATTGTATGTTGGAGACGAGATTATCTAAGAACTATTAAAAAGTACCGAGAAGAAGGGAAAACAATTTTTTATTTGGACGAGACTTGGCTAAATGAAGGTCATACTGTACCATATCTATGGGTTGATACAAATGTGAAAAGTTCCCGTCAGGCATTCATCGAAGGTGTATCTACTGGAATAAACAATATTCCCGTTGGAAAATGACGCAGACTCATAATAACCCATATTGGAAACGAATACGGTTTTGTCAATGGTGGATTATTAAGTTTTGCCTCAAAATCAACCAAAGATTACCACCAGGAAATGACTGCTGACGTTTTTGAAGAATATTTTGAGCAAATGTTGGATTTAATTCCAAAAAATTCTGTCATAGTCATGAAATGCTAGTTACCATTCAAGACTAGCAGAAAAATTGCCAACAACGGCATGGAAAAAAGGAGAGATAATCGAATGGTTGGATAAACACGCAATTGAGTACAAGGAGAATTCGACAAAAAATGAATTATTACCTATTGTAAGGCAACATAAAGCAGCTTATAAAAAATATATAATTGATGAAATGGCATTAAACCGTGATGTAATTATTTTACGTTTACCCCCATACCACTGTGATCTGAATCCGATAGAAAATATATGGTCTCAAGTAAAGGGTGAAGTCGGACGCAACAACAAAACTTTTAAATTAGAAGACTTACAACAATTATTAGAACATTCCTTATCAAAAGTAACTCCAGAAAATTGGAAAAATGCTGTTAGTCATGCTCACAAGGAAGAAAATAAAATGGGAATTTGGATAATATGACTGATGCAATGCTGGAACCGGTAATAATTAACATTGGAGTTGAAGATTCATTAGATTCTGAAGAAAGCAGTGAATCTGAAATGGAATTTGATTAAAATAATATTCATTGTTTTACAAATCGGCCCCTATTACGGCCACAAATTATTTTATATATAACCAATAAAATAAACATCTTACATTTCTTGCAAATTCATTAGTACCTTTAATCTCCATCACTCCGACACTGGCAACTTTATTTAGGGATTAGTAACCCTCAAAACTATTGTATTCTATTCTGCTTCAACCTTTATACCTGGTGGTCATACTCAATTTAAAATTGTTTTCCTATATACTTCTGTAAACTTGTTGACAAATATCTATTTTTCATTGAGTCACCCGTATCAACAGTTTAGGGATTTGCATAGATAATGTGCTATCAATATGATGGAAATGGACTATATTAGTCGTAATTTGTGATAATTTACCGTCATTGAGTTGTAAACTACTTTTATTGATATACCAGATTATTTAAATTTTCTTGATATACCAGGGATGGCATCACGGATTTCATAGTATTTACTTAACTCTTAAATTAAACATAATATTAGTCGTATAATAACCAAGTCACAGCAAAGCTTGGCCTGGTCAGCGAGTATAATTACCTATATATTTACATTAAAAATTAAATCATTTCTAACGAGTACGATGTATATCTAGTTGCTGTTTCTAGAAGTGAATGATCCCAATTTTGCGCCCCTCGCAAATTAATGTGGTTTCCTGGGCCACAATGTGGCCACGCCTATGTTTTCCGGAACTGGATGCATATATGGGTCCATATTAACGTCTCTCTAACATTTTCTCTAGATTTGTGTACAGTTTCTTCAGAAACAGTCAGTCCGTTGCTCATGGTAACTGAAGTACTCAAGTGTATACACAGGCGAAAACTAACTGTTTAGTAGGAAAGATCTATCCATAGTAATTCAAGTATTCGATGTACTCAGAGGTTAAACAAGAAACAAAATCCAAACCTGAAAAGCGTTTATATCATAATCTTGATCGGTGTCGTGAAAGAATCCATTTTGAGTTTAACAACATAAACAAAACAAAATAAACACAAACGTTAAACAAAATAAAACTCAAACACGATCACTTAAATTAGCCGACGTAAAGCAATTTAGAAAATTTTTTAGAGTAGCCGAATACAACTAAGCGAATATTATGATTGCTCTTATCTTTTTAAATTTACATTCTTTTAGATACTACTTACGGTTGTCATATTTGGTAATACATATATTCCAAAAATGTTACATATATTAAGTTTAGGTAAAAACCAAATTACTGAATTATTTAACAAATACCACTTACCATTTCAGCTTTCTCCAAACATGGGGATACATGGGATCACTTTATATTTTGTCCATTTCACAAATAGTCGCATAGCTTTTAATTTTATCGTTTTCTGGCCCAAACATAATTTGAAACAGTGTAGAAGGTAGATTTACTTAATGGACAGTCTTCCATTACATTAGGCATGCGCGGAAGATTATAAGTAAAATGACCTAAAATTTTCACATTTCGACTGGCAAAATGATATAAAACGATAATTATTATATAATGCAACTTTGTAAGCTGCAAAATAAGTGAGAGAGTATGCATATACGTTTTGTCGATCTCTAGATTTAAATTTGTGCACATAAAACACTAAAACGATAAGAACATCTTGGAACCGATTGATTACAAATTTTAAGTTCTTAAAAATCTTTGGGTTCTATTCTTATATCGGCATAAATTAATTGATTTGCGACAGATTTGGTATTTTACCTAGGAATATTAAATTCTGACTGTTTTGTATTTTGTGTATTATATATTTGTTAAATCTATATCATAATTGAGGAGGTAGCGTTCAAAAAAGGATTTGTTAAAATAAATCACATTGAGATTTTGATGTCATTTGAAAACTTATTTTGAACCCCACATGTTGTCGTATGATTTTTCACATATGGTAGCGGAACAAAACAAGTTTTGTCCACCTTAAATAGTTAATCAGAAAAGTTTAGTCACAACTAGCCAATCAAGGCAGCATTTGCCATACCCATGATGCTCTGTTGTTTGAGGTTAGGAGTTTTCACAATGTTTTGTTCAGCTTCATTGTTACCGTGTCGTAGAGCTAGTAGTGTTTAATTTAATATTAACTAGGATGAGTAAATTTATTGATGACTCTTTTGTAAGTGTGAAAGATGGAAATGATGGCTCTAGGAAGAGGACTATTATTCCACAAAAGAGAAAATTGGCAAAGAAGAGAAGACTAACCCAACAATACAATACCTTCAATCCGTGCTCACATTCCTCTAAAAGGTTTTGGTGTAAAAGCTTTATTCCCAGTGATTGTTCTCATGTGAGGAAAAACTTGCTATCTGTGCCCAATAAAACTGCTCAGGACAACTTAATTCCAAGTCATGTGTCACTTCAAAACATCAAAGAAGAAGGCCACGAAATACAAGCGACGAGGCACGGCCTAACTCTTGTTCTCTCGAGTACACTTTGATTAAGCAACATTATAAAATGTATTCGTAAGGAGGAACATCTAAATGAGAACCGCGAGAAATGGGGGGCGACCGCAAATCAGCGAAGACAACTGGTAAAAAGGCGCGTGTAAGAGATTTCATAAAAAAGTTAAGAGGGAAAGAGACACATTATTCTAGAAATAAATCAAAGCGCATCTATTTGGATCAGGACAAAAGTATGGAGAATGTATAATAATTTACAAGATGAAATCTCGAAAACGATGTTTCGAAGAATTTTTCAAACCTTTAATATTGGATTTCGCTCCCTAGCGTCTGATGTATGTAGTTACTGCTATTTTATAGCATTTAGCATATAGCATGACAGCATTTTGTAAGTCTATGAAAAAAGAAGAGTGTGGTTTACTCACTATGTACTTCGACTTTCAGCAGATTCAACCGTTGCCAAAATCAGCGATTCAAGAATCATATTACTCTAGGCAAATTGGATTATACTGTTTCTGTGTTATTGGAATTGACGAAAAGAACCTGACATTTTATATGTGGACGGAAGATGAAGCTGGAAAGGGTTCTACTGAGGTCTCTTTAGCTCTTTTGCAACGCCTTCAAAGCCTTGATCTACCTGAAAATGTTACATCAATCAAACTTTTTTGTGATGGGGTGTGGTGCTCAAAATAAAAACAATTTCGTTTTGCATACACTTATGCTCTTTTTGATCAAAACTAAGTCCAAAGTAACACACATCACAATTACATTTCCGGTGAGAGGACACAGCTTTCTTCTTTTCGACCGAGTGTTTGGACGAGTGGAAAAAATGTTGCGTAAACATCCAACTATCCTCCACAAAGAACGCATACAGGTTGATGATGATAATGAAAAGACCCACACAGTCGGGAGCTATCTAGATTCGTGCTAATATCGATGTTTCATAACTTGTTACAATCCTAAATACATCTTTTGGAGCACCACCAATCGACAAGAATTTTTTTATCGCTATTTAACCTTTGCAGTGATCAACATCAAATAAACGGCCGAACTTCTATACAGTATTAAATTTGAGCAAGCAAAACTGTCAAGAATATTTTAGTCAGTAGTTGAAATGGCATTATTTTGGAAATATATGGAAATGTGTCAACAAGCGAACTTGGATCAAGATTGAATTCGGTAAATGAGCGAATTTCGATTTTTTTTTTTTGTGGAGGAGGCTTCATAAACAAAAGTCTAAACCAGCTGATCGGGACGCTGTTATCATATGAATGTAGGTTGAAGATGATGAAAACTCCGTCGCACTAGAATGTTCACGATTCTATTCCACCTCTTGGTACAGATAAATTTTTACAACCAAGGTTGGTACAATCAAACTGTTTTGATGTACTTGAAAGAACCTCCCCAAATCTTTAAAATAATTCTGTGGAAATAGGCAGTTGATTTGGACAAATAGGTAAAACTGATATGCGCGCTAACCTCGTTTGGGTTCGATAAAGTTTTGGAATTAAATGGATAAATTACGTAACGCATGATGCAGGGATGATCAGTGGTTCTTAACTGGAAAACCAAATTGCAAAATGCAACAAAATGATGTAAAAAACTTGAGAAACTGTTCTAAATAAATAAATAAATAAAAATTTGGGGCTGTGTTGCGACTTTGGATTAAAATATGTATAAAAAGGATAGATTATAATGTTTGTGGCGTATAAACATTTGTTATATTTTTTTCCTTGTTCATCTCCCTATTTTATGTTGCTTAAATATGTATGTATTATGACCTATTACCTTTTAAACATCACTTACGTTCACTTTGTTTGTTATTGTGAAACTACATTAACACTAAAAATACGGTGGAAAAAATTTAAACGTGAGATAAGAATCCTTTTCTAATTTACATACGTGACCAATTTCTCATACATGACCATTAATATCACCTAATTTCCTTATTTTAATGATATTTTTTATGTTTTAGGAACTGATTTGCAGATGTGGCGGGCTGCCATTGACGACAATCCGGATCCCAAGAAATACATCCCAGTGCCTGTAAATGGGTTTTCTACACTCAGATCTAGGTTGCTTAACCAGGAACATCAAACAGGATTACATCAGGCGTTTCTCGACAAAGTGAATAAAGAAATTACTGATTTGAAAATTAGACATTCTGCGTCTGTGGCAAAAAGTAACGAACTCAAATCTAAATTTTATGAGCTGCAGCATAGAATATTAAGGGTAAATATTTTCTTTTAATGTGCAACGACACGAAACTGTGTATTTTGAGACATGAAGTTTGTTTCTTTGGCCTCCATTGCGTCCAATTGATCACTAATTAAATTTCGTTTTTCATGACTATAGCTTTATCGGATTTTCGGAACCATACAGAGTGTACGGATTTTGCTTTACTGAATCTAAACTCTCAACTATTTTTTGGTTTACTTATTTTTATTAATTTTTTTTATTAATTTTATATTAAGGTGGTTACAAAAATTTATATTCTTTATAGGTACAGTTATCGTCATTATTTCAAAACATATTTTCAACTTATGATTATGTACGTAAACTGTAAACTTTCTATTTTAATGATATCTAGTTAAAATTTCCAAAGAAAGCAGTACATTTTTTATAACTGTACTTAAATGAATCCATGGCATAACTTACTTGGTAACCTGCGTAATATTTGGTATTGTCTAATAATTTCTGAACTTAGGATCCAAAAAACTACTTTAAATGATTAACTATCCAAAAATCTTTATTTTAAGCAAACGTTCATTATCCATACTATAATTTTTAAATTATCTGTCCTTAAAGATAAAATTACAATTAAAATTTGCAAACTAGAGATTTTACTGTTGATATTACCGCAACAAGTTGTCATTTTGGTAGGTAGTGGGAAGTTAGTTCTCACTACCTACAATTTAAGAAAAATCTGCAAAACATTGAAAACGAGTTTTGTGGTTATGCAGTTGTCTATGAGTTATGCTTTAGAGAGTTCTCTTTCCTTGTCTAAGGGTTATGCCAAGGGGTTAGTTTTAATAATGTAAGTGTATTTACAGTTCGTCGAAGATCACATGAATTTGGTTTGCAAAGTTGCAGACCAGCAACTGGGCCCAAATTACTTCCACGACACAGAGTGGCTAGACTACAATTTTCCAGCGAACATTTACATTGGAATTTAGGGCAATGGAGTAATGTTCTTTTTACGGATGAGTCGAGATACTTTCTTCACTCATCAGATGGGAGAGAACGAGTATGGCCTCGAACTGGAGAGAGATTTGAGGAGTGCTCTTTCAGTCACCGCGTTAATCATGGAGGTGGTTCGGTGATGCTACGGGCAGGAATATCGCTAGAGGCGCACACTGAATTGGTATTTATTGAGGGTTCGTTGACTGCACATCGGTATATTGAAAAAAAATTTAGCGAATCACGTAGAACCCTTTGCTCAATATATCGGCGATGATTTTCTATTAATGCAAGATAATGCGCCACCCCAACAAAGAAATATTTAACAATTGTATAAATATAAATAGTAAATTCCATATGCACACTTACAAAAATACAATAATTTGAATCTAGCATGTGATACAGATGTGAGCACACAAATGTAAGTACATGATATTAACTGCGATAAATTCAGGAAATGTTGTAGTTGTTAATCAAAGTCTATTTAGATATTTATTATTTATTACTATTGTCCATTAATCAGTTCTTCATAGAATTGTGTTGTTTAGTTTTTAATCCATTGTTTAATTTCATATTTATATCTACGTTTTTTTAAAATTTCTAATTTGTTTTAAATTCTCTGGTGGAGAATTGTATAATTAGGGCTTTTTGTAACCAACATATCTCTCTAGTATGGATTTATTACATTTAGGTAAAATTGCATTATTCCTTGAATATCTAGTTTGGTGGACATGATTGTTAAAGTTTAATATTAACATTTTCATGTATATTGTGTAAGGGCTTTGTAACAGAATAATTTACATACAGTTAAAAATTTACTTTCATTATATAAGAGCTCGCAAGAATATATTTCAGAAAGTTTTTCCCATAAATAATTCTAATTATTACAGGTTACAATATTCATCGATGTTGGACTTCCCTCATATAAATTTCTCCGGATATTTCATCTCCAATTTTGACTTCTACTTGCTAATTGCTATCAATTTGTTATCTCGCTATCGAAGGCTTTGTTGTAGTTTATGAAACAGACGTAAAGGTCTTGATTACATCTAAGCATCTTTGAATAAGAATAGTAAAAGCAAATGTTTCTCTTTAGCCCACAATGACAGGGAAGCCCATTTGTGTTTCAGTTTCAGCTTTCGACCTGGAAGATTAACCATAAATCATATTTTTATACTGTGCCAAATTTTGGAAAAGAAAACTCGAAATACAATCTCACGGTACATAAAATCTTTGTAGATTTCAGAGAAGTGTATGATTATCTAAACAGAGATATGCCGTGGAAGGAATAGTGTAAATGGAAGTTTCTAGGAAGCTATGTGCAAGAATGAATATGGACGAATCAGAATTGGCAACACTATTATCACATAAAATCCAAATAGAAACTGATATAAAACAAAGAGATCCCCGAGAAAAAAAAAGCCAGAACAGACAACTGGCTTTGCTATGAAAAATCGAAAATATTGTTGACTTTTGCTAAGAAAATTGGCCCTAATGTCAACAAAGATATGACCAAGTACATGGATGAATCCGAGACCATTAGTTAATAAAATTTCAAAGTCATTAAAGAATTCAAATACCAAAGAGCATTCGTGCCAGCAGAAAACAGCTATGAAAATATGTGGAGCTAAAATCATTTCAGGGTACAAAGCATATTATTTCCTACGAGCTATTGCTTAAATCAAGATAACTCTCAAGATCGGTGAAGATAAGGATATAAAATATTAACCCGCCTCAATGGATGGAAGCGAAACACTAAATCTGAACAAATATGAAACAGCAAAATATTAGTCTTAGAACGCAAGATCCTGCGGGTTATCTATGGACCTCTCGCAAAGGCGAGAAAGAAATTGTGAAATTCGTCTGGTCCTGGAGACTTTCAGTTATGGATCATGTTGATAATATTCGAGACTCTTTCAGCTGTGAATGATTACTTATCATCTTGAAAAGTGTTTCTTGTTTTTTTCAATCCACTCAACGTTGATGTAAAAAGTAGCTGTTGTTAGTTGCTTTTCCAAGACTTATGAATTTCTATGATAGGCGTTTGATGACCTGCTATTGTGCATGTTATCGATGATCGTTCCAAGTATCAGCACTCTACAAAGATCTACATGTTGAAGTCACGAATAACCTGACCGAACCGTTGTCTAGTCTAAATGATTCGACACTGCTCCATCATGCTATGCGAACGATCCGAAACTTAATGGCGTTGAGATATTTCTGGAGCTCTAGGCGCACTATATATAGAGAACAATTTAGGTTTTAAAGTTAGTCTAATAAATATCTAACATGAAATAAATAAATGTTATAAATTAATTGTGTTTTTATTGTTAGTGTTAAAGGACTGTAAATAAAAAATAAAATATACAATACAATAATTTAGTAGTACTTTCTACAGTGAATTATTATTATTATAATTTAAATTTTATAATATATTCCCAAAATTTTACTCAAAATATATTCAATGATTTTAGATTTTGGTCAAGCAGGAATGTACTCGTAAAGTAGGTGTTGCCATTTTACCAGAGGAGGAAATTTTACGAGGTAGACTCGAAACCATGTATCAGCTGTTACACAATCCCAAACAGTTCAAGGTGAGTTTTTTTTTCAAAAATACTATGTTCTTTAAGGGGTTACATAGATCTTGTATTTTCAAAAAATCTATTTATCTTCTTTTAAATGAAAGTATAGTACTTCAAGAGTATTCACTAATAATAATTAATTTCGCAACATCAGGTATTATTCATAAAAGCAAAAAATGACATTCGAAACAAAATTATGACATATTCGGGAACCGAGACATACATACATATACAGACAAATTCATAATTTTTCTCTACGAAATTGAGGCATCGGCATTAACTAGAGCAACTGTGAATCTGCTCCAGGCCTTCAAGATGCGTTGTTAGAGGCGTATTCTACGTATATCCTGGACTGAGACAGTTATTAATGTAGAACTCTTGTGCAGAATGGGGAATGAACATAAAATTCTGACTATCAAAACTCAAAGGTTAGAATGTCTTGCATTCATAATAAGAAATTAAAAACGTTAGAGTATCCAGTTAACTCTCTAAGACAGTGGTTCCCAAATCGTGGTCCGCGGACCCCTGAGGGTTCGCGTGGTATGGCTGAGGGATCCGCAAGATATAAAAATAAATATATGAAGAGCCAGGGAGAAAAACAATATAAGTCTATTTTGCAAATTTTTTTAGGAGAGCGAAAACAAAGTTTTTCTCTCTTAATCTTTAAAATTAATAACATATATCGCGCAAACTTAAAACTATATCAAATTTTAGATTGTTAGCTATAATTTTGTTTATATACCTAAAAAATAATATTTTCGTGTAAGACAGATTCGGCCTCCCCTCTTCACCACTACTGGAACTTTAACTAGATGGGCCCTATTTTGACTTTATGCGAAATGTTAAAATGCGTGGCTGTCTGTCTATTTGCATTACAGTTACACAGCCAATTCGTATTTCAGAGATGTCAGTCGGCTATTATTAGTAAGTTAGTTAGTTCATTGCTAGTGCGGTCCCTGACTATGTTGAAACGTGTGATTTTTCACGGAAAGTTACATTACGCGTACGTTATGGATCGTTGGTTAAAATGTGGATAAAATATAGACCTACAGACGAAAAGGGAGAAAATGCATGCCAACTTTTCAGAGTCTCTTAAACCCAACTCGTCGGCGTCTCTTAAACCTAATTCGACCAAGATCAGTGCTGCAAAAATTAGAAAATACAACTCTGATTACTTGGAAATGGGTTTCACGTTCACTGGCCCTATGCAGCAGCCTAAACCTCAATGTGTAATTTGCTACGAAATCCTTTCGAATGAGTGTCTGAAGCCAGCAAAACTCCGTCAGCATCTTGAGACAAAACATCCAGAGTACAAGAGTAAGTCAATCGATTTTTTAAAAAACAAACTAGGAGAGCTTAAAAGATCTCGTAAAAACATTACTAAACACTATGGTGCAAATGTAAATGAAAGTGGAACCCTTGCATCTTATGAGGTATCTCAGCTTGTCGCTAAATGTGGAAAAAAAACCATACAACTGCTGAAGGACATATACTACCATCAGCAATAATTCTATACAAGCGAATATTGGGTGATGCGGCTGTTAAGATAATAAGTACTGTTCCGCTCTCTAACAACACTGTTCCAAAGACGAATTTCAGATATGCTCAATAACATTGAAGATACATTGCTGGTTAGACTTAGCATGAGCGACATGTTTGCTCTTCAGTTGAACGAAAGCACCGATATATCAAAAAAAGCAATAATGTTGTGTTTTGTTTGATTTTGTGGGAGGACCAGATATTGGAACATTTTCTTTTTTCATGCGAACTACTTCACATAGCAGCAGATATTTTACTGCATTGAATGGTTTTTTCAATAAACATGACGTCACATGGACAAAATGTGTGGGCTTGTCTACGGATGGAGCAAAATCAATGGCTGGCCACAAAGAAGGACTTCAAGCTCATATCAAAGCAGTAGCTCCTGAGGTGAAATGGACACACTGTTGTATTCATCGTGAAGTGTGGTAGCCAAAACATTGCCTGAACCTTTGCAGAAGATACTTAACGAAGTAGTTTCAATCGTTAACTACATTAAAACTCGACCTCTGTAATCCAGATTATTTTCTTTGTTGTGCAAAGAGATTGGCAGTGAGAATGAACATCTTATTCATACGGAAGTATGGTGGCTCTCTCGAGGGAAGATATTGACAAGATTTTTTGAACTTAGAGATGAAGTTTGTGTTTTTCTTCATGACACCAAGTACGCAGATGTTTTCACTGACTTTTCTTAGCTTTGCTCAACTGCCTACTTAGCTGACGTGTTTGAACACTTGAATGTATTAAACTTAAGTTTGCAAGGGAAAAATTTAGACATGTTCAAAGTCGAAGATAAGATCAGTGCTATGGTAAAAAAGTGCCAGCTGTGGGCGGCAAGGATTGAAAACGAGTCGTTCACTAACTTTCCTTATTTGAAACGGTTCTTGGAGTCTGCAGAGCAGAGTTTATCTGACCCGATAAAGATCAACGCAGGCAAGCACCTAGCAGCCTAGCCACGACTTTTACGATATAGTTCAATGAACCTGACCCTGACAATGGTTGGATTCGAAATCCTTTCAGCTGTCAAGCAATTGAACAATTCCAAGGCCTCACAGAAGAAGAACAAGATAAGAGTATGGATTTGTCGAGTTGTGGTACGATGAAGGACATTTTTAATGGCGAGAAAATAGCAGACTTCTGGGCAACAGCACGCAAGGATTACAAAGAACTTGGAGACAAGGCCATGAAAAAATCCTTTCGTTTGCAATAACCTATCGGTGTGAGCAAGCATTTTCTTCCATGTGCTTCATGAAAAACAAATATAGGAATCGGCTTGACATGCGGGATTTCAGAGTGAAAGTTTTAAGTTTGTAACCTAACATTACAGAAATAATGGATTCCAAGGTTAAATTCAACGTATCTGATTAATTGAGGAGTGAAAATTAAAACTAATAATGTACTTGTGTAAGTACTCTGTAGTATTTTCACAAATAAATCCTAAATAGCATGAGTTTGATTTATGTTTTTACATATTTTGGCTCTTTTCAGGTAACTTTAGGTTTGTTTAGGTCTTTAGAAAATAGTGGGGGTCCTCGTCATTGTAGTACCTTGATGAAGGAGTCCTTCATCAAAAATTTAGTTGGGAACCCCTGCTCTAAGGAAAGGTGAAAGACCAAAGGGGTCCAGGAAGGTGATACTGAGCTGTAAAGATAATCATGATGGCAACATAGCTATCAACATAACCTTCAGTATCTGGAACGGATAGAAACCATAAAGCTGGATTTATAGTTTGACGCACTGGAGACGTAACAAACGGACTGTAAATATAATTTCAATTTATAAATAGACGGAGTGGAATTTTTGCACATGAGTAGAAACAGCGACTACAGTTGGTGACCACGATATTATAATATCATTTTATTATTTATTATTATTATTTTATAAATTCTTAACCTCCACTGTAACAAATAATCAACAAAATAAAAATTCCAATATGTTGATAAGCAACTTTACAAAATTGTGGGCGTGCCAGACAGTTCATTTTGGTTGACAGCACAAAATTCTTTCTTTGATTGGCCAGACGCAAGTAACGTACTGTAAAAGATGAAAGTTGACCAACTCTTCCGTTACAGTGCGTTTCGCTTACGTCCCGTCTTGCGTTTACGTTCATTTATAAATAAGAGTACACAAAAGTCTATGTTGATCTTTTTCCAGTGCGTCTGCGTCTACAGTCCGTCAAACTATAAATCCAGCTTAAGAAGAGGAAATACTCTCTTTTTACAATTCAAAAACAGATTGAATAAGTGACAATGTAAATTATTATCATAAAATTGAACTGGCAATTTTTTCTAAATAACTCCGTTTGCGCTCATTGGGTACGAAATAACAAATAATTTTTATGAATATTAGAAATATACTCAACTTTTTTACATATTATAATTAATTTAATTTATACTTGAGATTTAGCAAAAAAACTTCACTTACTTCTGTGGTAGGTGTATAATCCTGTTCATAATAATTTTCATTATAAGTTTCGTCAGAGTCCCATCCAAACAAATGTTTAAAAAAATCAGTAATTACATCCATTTTTACCACCTAGGCACAACTGAATATTATTTAAAATAACAATTTATATTATATTTTGTAATTAATTCGATTAGAAACGTATAAATTTTGCTTTGATTCGATATTATATAATACAAAATAACTTAAATGAAAACAAAATTTAAGGAAGTCATATTGTATATTTTGGTATATGCACATAATCACGTATAATTTGGAAACATTTAAAATAATATTAAATTAGTTTTTATATAGCAATATCAGTACTTCTATAATTTCATGCTTAATTTTTCATTTAATCTCAAACGTGTAGTCCTCTTTTTCTTGTTTAAAATCTCACCTACTATGCATTACCCTCATCCAGTTGTCATTTAACTATTTAGTTACTACCACACCAACTAGTGTTGGTGTTAGTTCTCCATTTTAATAACCTCTTTGCCCATCAAACATATGTCTTGTTTGCATGTCACTGGATGGCGCAATTACATTTAAAAAAAGTGCAATTACTCACTTTGTTTGGTCGGTTTTCTAATAATGCCTGGGCTTTATTGATTTACCTTTCTGCATTCTTGATTCATTGATTCAGAATTACAATTTCCGATTGTTGAAAACTGGCTGATCACTGAAAAGACACTGGCAGTATTCATTCCATCTGTTGAGGATCTTTGTCTCCTCTGCTAGTGTCTACATTTGTTTACTTTCGATCACAAGTGTCCTTGGTGTGAACTCTCGAATAATTTGATTGATTTTCACAAATTGCTATCTTGATTCGTGTCTTTATAGTTCTCGATCTCCTGATATATCTCCTTCATGATAAAATACAAACTGAAACGACTGTGTTGAAAGATCGCGCAACCACACACTACGTGGAGTAGTAAATGCAGTTTCATGCGTGTTTATTAATAAAATAAAGTAATTTAAAATAAAATCTTCGTCTCCTTCTTCCGCTTTTCCTATTATGAGTTCGCCGTTTTCGTCCTCCACAGCACCCTATTCTCCCAGTCACCTTCTCTGAGGTCTCTCTCATCTATCATAGCATTTCCTATGTATATTTTCCTTCTTATAGGTCTTCCTATCTGTATTATTCTCGGCGGGTCCCAGTCCAATATTCTTTTCGGCCTTTTGTGATCTGGCATTCTTCGTACATGCTCGTACCACTGCAAGGCTCTGTTTTCAACTTTTTTGTAATTGAGCATTCTACATCTTAGTCTCCTTCTTCCGCTTTTTCCCATTATGAGTTCGCCGTTTTCGTCCTCCATAATACTCTATTGTCTTAGTCACATTTCCTGAGGTCTCTATCTATCATAGCATTTCCTATGTATATTTTCCTTCTGGTAGCAGGTCTTCCTGTCTGTCTTCTTTCCGGTGGGTCCCAGTTCAGTTTATTTTCGGTCTTTTGTATTCTGGCATTCTTTGTACATGCCCGTACCACTGCAGGGCCCTGTTTTCAAACTTTTTTGTAATTGAGAATTCTACTTCCATTATGTTCTATATTTCCTTTGTTCTTATTCTATTCGCTCTGGTGACGTGTAGACATCTTCTTCGAAGTCCATTTCAACTGTTTTTATTTTACAGTGGAGTCTCGGTAATCCGAAATAATTGGGACCGAATCCATTTCGGAATAAACAGATTTTCTTAAAACACTCTTTTAATAAAAAATAACAAATGGTATGCCTTAAGAACAGTACTTTCGTTTTGAACGCAATAAGAGTATATGACAATAACAAGGAAGTAAGAACCCTTTAATAGAAGACTACATTCATCTGAGACGTACGATCAAACACCGTTTTTTAAGACAAAAAGTTAGAGTCAATAGCAGAAATTTATCCCGGGCCCAGCGCTTCTCAAATTTCATGCATAGGTAAATTTGCTAACTGATTGATACAGAAAACTACTCACCTTAGGAAATATATATTGCTGATGAAACAGGTTTAACTTCAAGGCATTGCCAAGTTTTAGCACGTTGCATACTGCAGGAACTCACAAACTACCTCTTATGGTTATTGGGACGTCGGAAAACCCAAGGGCATTTAAAAACATTAATGTCGATTCTCTACCTGTAGGAAGTCCAAAAAAGCTTGGATGGGCGCACATCCTTTTATGGAATGGTTTGAAAACCAGTTCGTTTCAGAAGTTAAGCGTTTTTGTGAAACATCAGGCTTGCCAACTCGTGTTTTGCTTCTCATCGACAATGCAACGTCTCAGCCGTCAGCTGGTAAATTAGTTTGTGGAGATATAAAAGCTGTTTAATTACTATTTAACTGATTTAACTTATCTAACAATAATAAAAGCTGTTTTAATACCACCAAACGTTACCCTGCTCATACAGCCAATGGACCAGCACGTTTTGCAGCATGTGAAAAGCAGCTTTTGAGGCGACTAATCAGTGACAATGATAAATTACGGACACTATTAGAAAAACTTAAGAAAATAAATGTAAAATACATCATTTAAAGGGTAGCGGAGACTTAGGAATCTGAATGAGAAAGTTATAAGAAACTTCTGGAAAAAAAATTGGTCAAGCCTTATGTAAGAAATGCCAGAGGTAGAGGCTGAAGAAACCAATTTGTTAAGGGACCTTGTGAATAGGCGAGTTTACTCCTATAAGCACAGCATATACCGACTATTTTTTTGCATTTCTCCCGCAACAAACCCTTTTTATTCAATTTTCAAGTTCAAATGTATTTTTTTTATTGTTCCAAGTGGACCGGACATTGTTATGTCCATTGTTTAACAAATAACTTATGACAAAAAAAAAACAATTTTCTGAATCGTTTTGAGTAAATTTTTTAGGCGTATCTCGTATAAATACTTTTTCTATCTTGGTAATTTTTAGAAAAATGCTTCCTTTTCGAGTTATTTGTAGTTTTTGTAGTAATTTGTGGCCTTCTATTTTTCTAAAAAAAACACTAAATGAATTGCGTTTATATAAAAAGCTTTATAATCTTTAAACCTTCAAGTACAAGTAAGAATATTTTGACAATGATAAATGGATTGAGCTCAGTGTCTTTACACAATCTTTGTGTTATATTTGTCCATTTCTCTTTAACGTGCATTTTTCTCGTTGCTTCCCATAGTTGTTTCCTGGGTACGCTATCATATGTTTTCTCCTAGTCGATAAAAGTCATTTATGTTTTAGACAATATTTTTCCTTTTATTCTTTTCTATTACCTGTCTCATGATGATTATATTATCTACACATTACCTGGTTTTATGAATCCGGGTTGTTCGTCGCCATAATAGTCCGTATGTTCTATTTTTTTTTTATAATTGTGAAAAAGATTCTTACTATTGAAGGCATTACACTGATCCCCTTACAGTTATTTGGTGACCATTTGTCGCCTTCTTTAAATCGTGATATTTTGGCGACTGGACATTTTTAATGAAATTTTATTTTATTAAAATAAAATAAATAAATTACAAGAAATTAAAATAAACCAAAATAAGTAATGTATGAATGTTTTTCATTTTTCGGCTTTAGCTATCTTGGGCTAGTCTAAAATAATGTGAAATGTATTTTTGCTTATTTTAAATCTCTTTTGCTTTTAGGGACAAGTCAACGAAATTTTAGCAACTATTAAGATAATGGCTGGTGGTTGTAAACAAACCGTTCCTAGTTACCGGATAGATGGAGAAGTGGAGAAAGAAATAAAGCAATTTTTGAAAATGGAACAAAACGGAATATCTCACTTAGTTCGTATAATACAATCGGATTTGAAATCATTAAATATTATCAACGAGTCACTTAAACAGAAGTCTCTTAATTGACAATTTAGCATATGTTAAAATTTATTTTTAAATGTTATTTAAATTTTGGAAAACAATTGTAACTGGTAATATATATTTTTTAAGTATTTTATTGCTTTGTTAAATGTAGACACGTAATTTCCAAATGGCTGATAATATCCCAGCAAACGATCCGTCAACATCTTTTTATATACTACATACGGCAAATGACAATTATAGCGAAACTTTGCTGCGCATGTTTTAAACAGTCCCTTGGCTATTTAACACATGCGTGGTTAAAACGGATTTGGTTAAGTAAACACTGGCAATGTAACAATGGCGCACGTATGTTCGGATAGAGATGGATCAGTTTAGGCTTAGCAGTTAGAATGTATAAAGATTAGTTACCCATTTCATGGCAGTAATGATACAAAGCTGCACTTTTATATCTATATGATCTGTATTTATCAAGTTTTAAGTTTTCTGAGAATATTTCGTCTAGTTATGTTACTTTGTGTTGTTCTGTTTCGTTGTAATTTCTCTTAGGCCGCCTAACAATTTCGATTTTGATTATAGGAGGGCTTATTCTTAATTCGATTATTTCGGTGGTCATCCATTATTTTCCTGCATTTCTCCTTTGTTTTCAGATCTGGATCCTGTGTGATATTTAAAACTTCTTTGAGTTTGTTCCATAGGTTGTATATTCCCTCTTTTTCTCGTTGCCTGCTTGATAGTTTATCTGATATGATCGAGTTTGTGTATAAGGTGATATTACGTATGTATCTCCGGTGAGGAGATACGTTCTTTAAAATTTGGGTTTTTGATTATTTGGGTGTATAGTTCTGATACTTGAGAACTTCTGGGTACAATGAGAACGCCTTACACGGCCGAAATCTATTTCGGGATAAAGAACAAATCAAGGAACACGTAGATAGAAAATCGAGAAGGAACAGGTTGACTTTCTTTGCTGGGATATGGAATTTAGACAAGCTCCAACATTCATAATTTCGTTTATTTATGTTAAGTTTTTATTTTATGTAAAGCAAATTTTAAAGACAATTTAAAGCAATAATTTATCTGCCTTTGTGCTATATAATAAACCATGTAGACCTATCGGTTTAGCGTCATTTTTTAGGTGATTTTAGTCAACTCTTTATGTACTATGTTGTCCTTTTAAAAATTCCCGTACTGTATATCTTTTATATTTTTAAAATATTCTTTTTGCATTTAACGTCTCTTATTGAGGTTTCTTCGTCGTCTAACTATTTTTTCTTGCATTATAAGCTGTAGGAATTCATCTCTTGTATCTCTAGAGGCATGACGATGAACTTGAGTATAGTTTCCTCTTCTTTATAGTAAACATAATCCAGGCTAAAAATTCAGTCTTTCCAGCCCTACCTGACTTGTGATCCTATTCATCCAGGACACTATGAGAGTGCATCTGTACACCCACATTTTAAAGTCTTGCATCTTTTCAAGGAGTTTCCTATTTAGTGTCCAGTTTTTTACATCGTATAGGAGTATGGGAAACACATAACACCTAACCATTCTGATTCTTAAAGTCATAGAAAGATTATTTGCTCTCAACAGTTTTTTTCATTTTGTTCAATCCCTAATGAAGAAAATACATCCCTATCTCTCTTATATCGTCCACTTAAGTTACTGATAAATATTTAGAAGGCTAAAAATGAATATTTAAAAAACAAATTTCAGCTCTTTAATCGGATACGAACAATAATTTTTTTTAATAATATTGTATCTTTGAGTAAACAATAAAAAATAGTTCCTATGAATAGCCCGTTTTCTAGAATGCGCCTAAGTTAACGACTCAAAAAAGGTGTCTCATGGCGGACATTAATTCTCAGGATTAGCACATCTTAAACAAAAAATTCCAATAGGGTTACTTAAAACAAGCGCCCTTGCAAGGCAATCAACTACTTTTATTCGTTTTTTTTTTTATATAAATTTTTGCATGTCACAATAATTTTTCGACTTTTTTTCTAAAAAGTGGTTAAATGTCTTGTAAGGATGCTTTCTTTAAGTACTCTCATTGAAATTTTTTGTTCAGATGTGTCAATCTTGAGAAATAGTGTCCAACAGCAGTCACCTTGATGTTAACTTAGACGCCCCGTAGAAAACTGGCTATTCATGGGAACTAAAAGAAATTAAAACCTAAAATTTTTGTTTAATTTGAAAATGAAATAATATTTAAAAATCAATATTTCATGTGTGTATCTAATAAAGAAACTGAGAATCTTTTTTTTAATGTGCATTTTTTGCGTTCTAATCTGCATTAGTACCTTAAATTGTTCTTAAACATTTTTATTTCTGTTACAATAACCTGAATTATATCCTTATTTATATTTTGTAAATAATATTTATTTTGCTGCCTGATACAAACATGGATATTATTAGTGTTAGTTTATTACGGTGATGCTCTATGGGGATAGGATACATTACTGAGCCTTTCAGTACAATTTAGGGTGCGCTACAGTCTCTCACATTGCGACATTTGCAGATCCAGTTTATTTTCATTTGTGATTTAAAGTGGTTCATTTGGTCAATAAGGTCAAAAATCCTATTTCTAAGGTTTAACAGGATAAAGGCCTTTTCATACACAATTTTATACAAAGAGTGTGGTGTTTTCCTTGGCGAGTACTAAAACCTACAGTTTTGTAAGGACTTACCCAATGGTATATAACACAGTTTCATTTTATTACAGACAGAACTGACAAACATTATCTTCTGTCAAGTATATACAACTCAAAGGTTTGTTGAACCTACACCTAACCGATCAATACACCCACCATCATTCTAACAACTTTTCGGCTGTTACTCAATAAATCTGCTATGTATTTGACCGAGCGCTTTTAATATTTTTCCTTTAGTATTCCTCAATTAGTCAAGAAATTTCTTTTGAAATAATGCATCAATTGCAAGACAAAAATGGTTTCGGTTCATCGACGGGGGTACATACACCTTCGATCATTGCCTTAACGTTCTCGCTGTCCATTTAACGCAGCTGTCATGTTATCTACGGTAGTGTCAACCTATTTTGATTTATACACAGAAATGGTTTTAGAAAAGTTCCACGTGAGTTCTGAATTAACCTTAACGAAACGGTATGCTTTTAGAGTTGCTTGAGTATCGGAGGGGATGACAATAAATTGTAGTGTCCCCTAACCCCTAGTTTTGATGTATTAGATCCATAGAGTCTATGGCTGCAATTAGGATCTCAAATAGCGTCGCTTATATAAAGTGCATAGCTAAGTTCGTTCCACCACCCATTAGTGCTGTAGATCAGGTACCAAAAATATATGTTTCGAGGAGAGGGAAGGGTCAACTTCAAACGCACACTGTAAGTTCATGGCATGGAAGTAGCTTTTGAAATTATTTAACCAAGTTGGTCTACATGTCATCACCAAAACGGGATCCGACTGTATCATCTGATATAGCCTTGATTAGAGGCTCCCCGTATGGTGCTTATAGCAACCTGATCATGTTGTATTCAGGTACTATTGATCCTACCCCAGTATATGTAAATACAAAGGTATCCGTTCGAGCAGTTCTCATAGCTCCTGTGCTGAGAATACCTTAAATTATGAAATTTTTTAAGTGTGTCTTTTTCTAATGAACCATTAAGTTCTTGTCGTAATACTACTTGTGAACTTTGAGCGACCAGCTCTGAACCAAAAGATAATCTCTGAAATTGTTTTGGGAAAGCGTCCTTTAACAACAAATATCTGCCTCAGAACCTTTGGACCACGCCATATTTTCAATCCCTTAAAAGTTATGGCCTCCTAAAAGTATTTTCTGAATCCACATTTCACAGTCTGCTAAGCTCCTACTAACATTTACATCAGGATCAAGGTGCAATATTATCCAGGAAGCCAGGTATTTAAACTTATTCTCGTTTTCTACATGTTATCCTGTATATTCTTGTATCTGTTAATGGATTATTTCTCTTACTAATAGCCATTATCTTTATTTTGATATTTGAGTTTTTATTTTAATACCCAATGGAGCTCTTGTGAATTAGCTGGTTTTGGAGTTGTTAAAGATCTTCCGGTCACCTGCATACTGTAGGTTGTTAATTGAGAGTGGCTTATTTTTATACGGTTGCTTAAATCTTGTAAAATCTTGTCTCTATTCCCAATTTTTTTTTTAAGTTTTTTAAGTATTGAATACCGTTGTTATCCAGGCCCTTCTCTTATATACTGTATTGAAAGCTATCGAAAACTTTTCAAGTGCAACGTGATGTAATGGAGACTATATCACTTCCTCCTTGGAACACTTTTCAATTAAAAACTTGATCGAAATTTGCCTTATTGTTTTTTATTATCCAAATTTAGCCATATGGCTCACACTCCCTCTAAGGGGAAAATTCACTCATCCCAGATACCTACGGTATCAAAAGGATTGAGCTCTGGTGGGACTCTTTCATGTTATCGAGTCCTAGGTGACTTGGTACGTCGGTGTATCTCCTAAAAATTTTCGCACGCATCTAGACGTCGAAAGTAGCACAGCTTTCTGCATGACCTTATATAGATGTTCATTTAGACCCAGCTTTTTTATGTTTTCTAGGAGGTTCTTCGGAATGACTCCAGTGGTAGAAAGAATAATCGGTATCGTCTGGGTACTTTCCATTCTCCATTGTCTTCTTATTTGTATTTCCAGATCTCTGTACTTGGCGATCTTTTCGTTGTACTTAACACGCAGATTATTGTTGTTAGGTATCGCCACATCGATTAGAGTTGTTTGTCTTGTTAGTTTATTAACTAGCACGAGATCTGGTCTATTATGTGCTACAGTTTGGTCTGTGAGCACAGTACGATCCCAGTATAGCTTGTAGTTGTCATTCTCAAGCATACTCTCTGGAACGTATTGATAATATGGGAGATGGTTTGTTTGTAGAAGTCCCAGTTTAATAGCTATCTCTTGATGGAGGATCTTCCCTACTGAGTCATGCCGTTCCTTATATTCAGTTGCAGCAAATGCCTGGCAGCCTCCGGTAAGATGTTGGATCGTTTCTTGGGCTTGACATCCATATCGGCATTTGTCGTTTTGGACCTGAGGGTCTTTGACAATATATTTCAGGTAATTTTTGGTTGGTATAACCTGATCCTGAATGGCAAGTAATGAACCTTCTGTTTCAG